CGTGGTGACATTGAAAAAAAAAACAAAAATCGGAATGACCTACAAAATAGCAAAAGAAAATGCTTATTTTGGCTGGTTGATTTTTTTTTTTTTCGTTTTTAATTAAAAAATAATATTATTCTTGAAAAACAAAAATTGAAAAAATTATAGGGAGTTACCCTTCGATGTCCTTCACCCTCCTATAAAAAAACAAATATACCCCCCTAGCCAAAAAAAAAAAAAAAAAAAACATACCGCTCTCCGTGAACTCCATGAACTCCATGAACTCCCGTGAACGTGAACGCTGTGAACTCTCCCGTGAACGTGAACGCTGTGAACTCTATGACCGGCTCCGTTCACAGACCCCGTGAACGGTGAACGGGGGTACGACACTGCCCTTAAGACTTCCCCACTTTCCCCAAAAATCCTTGTCACACCCCTTTTCGCACTTCCAGGCCCACACTCCACTCCGATCAGGAAGTCGCGTTGGGCGTGAGGTTGGTATCGGAGCTCGACACGTGGCTAGGGTCTTAGGATTGATAACACGTTAATTAGGCGACCTGGCTAACCGTGGGCGACCTCGCCCTCGGAACGCGCATAGACGCGACCCTATCGTCACCAGAAGCAGATCGGCTAACCGATGAGCAGCCAATATGGCTGCCAACGTGCAAAATCCAGTTCCGCAACAAAATGCTAATCCACCTAATCAACCTGCCTCACGTGCACGAGCTCCCATGTCGCCATCAGATCTCTATCTATTTGATCTGGCGCACCATCTCGCAGGAGCATGGATGGCCACGCTTAAAGCACAACAGTACGATGATCACGAAGCACAGATCAACATTCCGACTCGAATGGGAGGAGACACTCATCATTGGTATAGTATCTATGTATGGGTGGATCTCCCGACCTTCGAACGGGATTTCATGAATCAATTTGATTATGTCCACCCCGAGCAAGCGCTGTACATGATCAAGGACCAAGTGCAAAAACCGCTCGAATCCGTTGCGGAATATCGAAACCGGTTCTACCGAATGTTCGTAAAAATCGAGCGAGGTGAGCAAGTAGGGAGAGATTTGTTCATTGACGGAGTCCGCAGTCGAACGATAAGGGCAAAGTTGCGAAAGCAATTTTCCCCCATCGCTCATACGCTACAACAAATTATGGTTGCTGCCGAAGAAATGGACGAAAGTTCGCGGCGAACTTCCTGGAAGGAGAAGATTCCCCTAGAGACGGAGATTCGACCGAGCTCGCTCGAGCAAGAGCAGAGCTTGCTGCTTTATAGAACAAATTCGAAAACATGGGGTTTGTATCAGGACATGTCACCTATATAGAACAAATAGGCCCTAAACAAGTAATCCTAAGTCAGACCCCGAGCATCTCTGCTCCTATGATGCCCCCGCCCGTCAGGGCATTACCCCCGCCGCCGGTAGAGGCTCCTGTACGATCAAACGAGTCGGCGACCATTTTCGAACTAAGCAAAACTTTGATTAGTTTGATTCAAGAAAGCAAAAAGGAGCAGCGAGAGCACAATGCTCGGCTGGAAGCCATGATGAGGAACATGCGACCTATTGCGGTGCGGACCCCTCCGATGCAACAAGGATTAGCCCCCTCCCCTGCTCTCGGAGGAGCTGCTAACAATCTGAATGTTTGCTACGCCTGTCATCAGCCCGGACATCTAGCCCGTGACTGCCCCCACCGACCCCCACAACAGCGGATCGGAGTCGCACCTATGGCTGTGGCCCCCATCGCCAACGGACCTGGACGAGTCGGAGCCTTGATGGAAGAAGTAGAGGGTGGGGGAAGTGCCTTGGCCACCACGGAAGAGGCCGCCGAGCTAATTCCGTGAGATCAGTTTATGTCGCTGGGATATTCTGGGCTAGGAATGATCGGAACAATCAGAACAGTGCCAGAACCGAAATAGGTGGCGGAGTGGCGACCGTCCTTAGGAAAAATGGAGTCGGGAGGACCCACCTTCGTCACAGGAGAGATCGATGTACTGAACATCATTCGAGCCTTGGATCATCGGATTCCCCTTCCGATCGGTCATCTACTCTCGATCTCTGAGCAAGCCAACGAGCGAATGTTACAGCACTGTAAAGCGAATCGAAAGCGATTCGCTCTCGCCCGAGCGCTGAACGTAAAAGCCAAAGGCCCCGCGCCGGAAGAAAACCCACCAAGCACTCCGGATCCGATACGGATAGGATTAATTTAGAAAGACGATCATTTCCTACGGATTAAACCCATTCCGTGGAAATCCGCAGAGTGCGATATAGAAATTTGGGGAATTCCTTACAACGCCATTATAGATTCAGGAGCAGTTGTGTTGGCTATTTCATTGAGAGTGGTCGAAAGGGCAGGCAGGAAAAACGATCTGATCATGCTCACCGAGAAAGATCAGCTCGTTTCGACAGATGAGGAAAAGATTAAAACTGTGGGGAAAATGACCAACGTCGCCTTCCGATTAGGAAAAGTACACGCGCATGGGGATGCCGTAGTACTAGATGTTAATACGTACGACGTTATTTTCGGACTTCCTGCTCTTGTGGCGTTACGAGCAAACCTGGATTTTGAACGACGATCGATCGTCCTCCAGAATACAGGAGGAAAACCATACGTTGTGCCCATGCGATTAACCTTTCGCACTACTATTAACGCGGTTCTGCGGGTTTCGCCGATGATGGTAGAGACTCTCCGCATGATCTCCTGGGACGAACCCGCAGAAGGGAAGCCATCAACTAATGATGCGGAAAGCAGTGACGAAGATGATCCGGAGATCTTGAAATTGGTACGACAATGTGTTTACTACTCGCCGCCCAAAACGATAGCGAGAACGATGCAACTGACCAGCCGAAAAATTCAAAGGACCAAGGCGATAATCTTGGGAGAGCCCCTCTTGTAGATTTTGAGGACGGTCGACTCTTTGGAACCCTCTCAAACTCTGTACGAAGGGATCGCCCCTCTCCTCGCCAGGTATAGCGACAAAAAACATTATTGAGACATTACGGAACTACCTAGGTCTTTACTAACATCGGCTAAAGAAGTGAGATTGTTACGTTTGGGGGCGGAAGCAAGCTCTCTGGAACCCCCTGGCGTTTTGAAGCAGAAACAGACAGACTGGGGATAAAGATTGCAACTAAGGAAGTGCCATGGCAGAATGTCTGCGACGGGATTACCCCGGAAGGACACGTGGCAATCCGAGAAGAAGATGCTCAGATGATGGCCACGGTGTTCTCCTGGCGATCGGATCATTCATTCATCTCGGGGCCTCCACCTGACTGGACAAAACAGGCGAACACGAAACAGATTGACTTTCGGATCTGGGACCAACTTTTTGAACTGCACGTTCCACAATATGTGCCGGATGAAATCCACCAGGTGATTGCGGATATTCTAACGGAATACCAAGGAGCAATTCGTGTGTCAGACACTGACATCGGGTTGTCGTTAGTAATCCAACATGAAATTCAGACAGGAAATCACTCCCCGATTCATTGCAAACCTAATCGCTATTCCTTGATTAAGCGCAAAAAGGCTCTCGAACGAATTCGGGAGTTCGAAGCCAGTGGTTGGATTAAACCCGCTATCGGACCTTGGTCCTTTCCTGTAGTATTAGTGCCGAAGAAAAACGGGGCGATTCGCATTTGCATTGATTATCGCAAGCTGAATGAAATCACGATCAAAGATGTGTATCCCCTCCTCCGGATTGATGATTTGTTGGATGCGATTGGGTGCTCTAATTATTTCAGCAAGTTTGATATTCGGCACGACTTCCATCATATTCTGGTAAGGGAAGAAGACCGACCGAACACGGCCTTTGTGTTGTTTGAGGGCACGTTGCAGTGGGTTCGGTGTCCAATGGGGATTTGCAATGCGCCTTCCACGTTTCAGCGAGCGATGAACATGACATTCCAGAATTTCGTCAACAAGATACGGCTGACGCAAGGGATGATCAACTTCTGTGTGATCGTGTACATGGACGACATCCTAGTCTATTCGGAGACCTATCACGAGCACGCGCAACACATCAAGTGGACATTGGGCGCACTGAGAGATGCTGGGTTCAAGATTGCGCTCGAGAAAAGCGAATTTTTCCTCTCGGAAATTTCGTTCTTGGGCTACGTCATGACACGTGGAGGATTGCGGCCGGACTCGAGAAAAGTTGCGGCGGTGAAGGAAGCCCCGGTTCCCACGTCACTAGCGCAGGTTCGAGCCTTCTTGGGACTAGCGTCGTACTACCGGCACTTCATCAAGGGCTTTGCCGCGATTGCACGACCGCTAACGAACGTGTTACGGAAGGACCAACCTCTCCGTTGGGACGCGGAGTGCCAGCAGGCCTTTGCAACCCTCATAGACGCTCTGGCAACGACCCCTATTTTGATTCGGCCGGATCCCTCGAAGCAGTTCATTCTCATCACGGACTGGCAACCGGAAGCTATTTCCGCTATTCTAGCACAGAAGGGGAACGATGGTCGCGAACACGTCTGACTCATCGAGTACGCGTCTCGAACCGTACCGGACGAACGAAGAAACGACTCCGCACCTCAAGGCGAGTGCTATGCGGTAGTTTGGGGAATTCAACACTTCCATCTGTATCTCTACGGACAGAAGTTTCGCCTCGTTATGGATCACGAGCCTCTGCTAGCGCTGAAGAAACTCACCAACTACACGGGCATGATTGGCCGTTGGGCGGTGCGACTACAAGAATACGACTTCGATATCGTCCATCGAAAGACAGAGCGGCACGGCAACGCGGACGGGCTGACACGTCTGCACCGACCTGTCAAGGTACCAAAGGGCGAGGAAATTACACCGTGGAAAGAGCCGGACTTGACCAACGAGCCGAAATACGGACAAGTGGCAGTTCTCCCATGTGGCAAGAAGCAAAACGGTGGCGATGGGTGATGGAGGTAACCCCACTACCCCTCTTTCTCCCCCTTCCTTCTCGTCTCTCCTCTCCCTGCCTGACAAATTTTGCTACTTTTGCGAAGCTATCTCCCGCGTATACGCGGTCTCCACGTGTCCGAACGGGGAAGGGTATGTCGATTGGATAGATTGTCGACAGTGTGTTGCACGAGCCTATGGCTCGTGCATCCAATACAGAAACGATAGTAAACCATGGTTGTGCCCCTTGTGCCGGACCGACAAGATTCCGACCGAGGCTCGCTTTTTGTATGCCACGTCAGAAGGATTGGAAAAGACCCGGAAGTTTAGAAGGGTCGAAGTATGGACGGATATTGGCTTAATTGCCACCCTAGTAGGTAACCCCCTCCAGGATTTCACTAAGGAAGATTGGAGGAGGGCCAACGAAAGGGCTCGGGATTACAGGTGGATAGAGGGGACATTAGAAAAACGAAAAACGGACGGCAGTGGGATTTGGATGGTAGTGCCGCATCCGTTCATGGGGTATGACTGGGTTAAGACGGCCCACGAGGAAAATGCGGCTCATTTTGCTGTACGAATCACGGAGTCCGCTATCGACAAAAATGAGTGGTACTGGTCCAATATCCGCGACGATGTGAAGTACATCGTCGCCAACTGATAAAGCGCCGATTCAGCCACCAAGATCGATAGTGCCCACGGTTGTTGAACGGCCATTTCAAAGAGTGAGCATGGACACTACCGACATAGTGGTGCCCCATGGCCCTAATAGTTGCGAATATTCAGTCCTATTGGTATTTGTCGACCATTTCTCGAAATGGATCGAAGCGTATCCTTGTCGCGCGTGGCAAGCCATGGAAATCGCACGGTATGTCAACCGTTTCCTCGGGATGCATCAGGATACGGAAGAAATCCTGACCAACAACGGGGCTGAATTCAGGGGAGAAGTGTCAAGGAATCTGGTCCTACATGGCGTCGCCATACGTAACACTGCACCCCATATGTCACAATCCAATTGGCTGGTCGAAAACGCTAACCGGGTGATAAAGACAGCGTTGCGACGAAACATCGCGGCACGGGATCCGAGACCCTGGCCCGATATCGTCGATCACATCCTGGCGGTCCATCGCGGAACGCCCCAAGAATCGACGGGGCTGAGCCCCTTCCAATTAAGGACCAAAAGTGTCGCTTGCGTTTCGATACCAAGCCTCCCAGATGAGTTTACATTGAACCGACGACCCACCAGGGCTACGGCTCGGGACAAGGCCAAACGACACCTAAAGTTAATGGAACGGTCGCTGCCTAGCCTAGCCCGAAAGCGACAGAAAATGACCGAACTAACCCAGGGCCAACAGGTCCGGAGCTACGAGGCCCGAAATGGGAATGTGGGTCCGCGGCCCCAGTACAAATTGGGGGACGTGGTGCAGGTGAGGAAATGTGCTCGCCAGGGTAAGCTAGCGCCCCGATTCTTCGGGCGATATCGCGTGATCAAATTGGCCCCAACGGCATGGACACCGTGTGTCTCACCCCTGAAGTCTCCGGCAGTCGGTCGGCTCGTCCGATCACACGACACATGTCCTATCTTCGCCTCCTCCCCTTTGCTCCGTCTCCTTCTCCCTCGATCTCTCTTTCTGAGGAAGCCGATGACGACGACTCGGACTCTCCGCCATCTCCCTCCCTTTCTTGCTCCCTCTCTGCCACCCCGTCACCCCCGCCATCGCCATGAGTTTCGCCATCGAGCGAGCTTTCAGTGATCCGTTGCTGATTCCACGGGGAGAGATCTCTGCCATCCGCCAAGTGCATCATCCGCGGATCAGCCCCGACTTCATGCGCCTTGCGCAGTTCTTCTGCACTGCACGTGTATACATCGTGGCAGAGTTCCGATTCACAAGCAATCCCCAGGTAGTGGTGCTGGCTGAGGCAACGACGTTCCAACGGCGAGCGGCCCCAGGAATCAGCCACGTGTCTACCGTGGTAGTCTTCAGCGGCGATATCACCACCTTCGATCCGGCCCAGCAAGCCGCCAAAGCACCTTGTACCGGTGGGGTCGCGATCTGGCCACTGATTGGGATCGACGGCTCACAAGGCACGGTGGAGTGCTATCCTGTCGACGGCATCGAAGTCAACACGCTGCGCACGACGCTACGCGAGCCACCTGTCGTCCTCCCCGAATTTGCTCCCTTCCAGCCACGTAGATGAGTTGCGTGCCGATCTCGACGTTCTCTCCTCCCTCTCTCTTCCCCATCTTCTGGCAGTCCTCTCACTACCCTCGTCTCCCCTTCCGTCTAGAGCCACTGACAGTACCCATCGTTGATCCGGACCGTTGGTGGCTGTGGCGTGCAGAATTTGTCTAGCTCTCGTTTTGCCTGCTACGAGTGGATCTGAACTGGACGTGGGAAGGCGATCAGAGGCCCGTGTCGGAGATTGTGGAGTTGCTCGTCATTTAGGCGTAGAGGACCAACGTGACGGGAGATCTTTTGGGATTTGTCTTTGGAGCGGTGGATCGAAGAAACCGATCACAGATCGTGCACGAACTTACGATCGTGATCGCGCGATTGGCCGACGAACTCCCTCTCCACATCGTCTCTCAGAGCGACGAAGAACCCGTGCCACATACCCTCTCAAGGACTCTCGCCCCAAGCCTCCAGTGGTCGGCTTGTATCGAGGAACGTTGGGCGGACAGTCGTTTTCCCTCCCGTAGCGAGTACCTGGACGTCCACAGCCTGACAAATCACCGCTTCTTTCGACAACCAACGGTGTTCGAGTGGGCGGCGCCGAGAGCAGAAGAGGAGGCCGAAGAGGAATCGGAAGGAGAATTGAGGAGAGAGGCCGGGGAAGCAGCGGCCCGATTGGCCGAGGACGAGGAAGAAGAGCGCGAAGCAGAAGAAGACTCGGCGGAAGTTGAAGAAGAAGAAAAAGAAGAAACAGAGGAGGAGACTTCGGAGGAAGAGGAAGAGGCCTATAGCGAGTACAGCGAGGGCGAGCAAAGTGAGGAGGAGGACGACAACGACGAAGAAGTGGAAAGCGGGGACGACCAGGAGCCAACGCACGACGAGCTCGAGTGGGTGCGAGGACCGGATTGGCAAGAGGAGAACCTGGAGGGTGCTGCGCAGCGCAAGAAAGAGATCGCAGAAGGAAAGCGGCTGGGGATCGATCCCGCACCGAACGATCCTTTCAAGGATCTCGAGCCGCCCAAGCCGGAACATGGAGATCTTGCTGCCACGACGGCACGGCGCCGATTCTGATCCCGATCCATGTCCCCCTCTGCCTCCGCCCGTCCCCCAATTCGTCAACGTGTCAACGAGGGACTTAGCCCTTCGTCCCCGATCCATTTACCACCATCCCCTTAGCTATCTCTCTTTCAATCAGTATTTCCATCGCGTCGTCTACCCCCGTAATCCCTTTCCCATCGCCACCTTTCGACATTTCTACTCCGCCTGCCTAGAACTGACTGTCCACCCTTACTCTTCTGTTCGGTGTGATGTCCCCGACTACTCCCTCCACGTTCTGCTCCTTAGCACCGCGTGGCGAGGCCGTAACCATATAGAGGTTTACTGCATCGTTACGGGGACCTTCCCCGCGTGCGAGAACCATGATCGGTTCCGCACAAACGTCCTCCGAACCCTCGTATCCCTTTACCCTGACTACCTCGCTTCCCTTCCCCGCAGCGGCCAGAGATTCCCCCGCTTCCATCGCATTGTCCGTTTTCAAGAACTTCCCTACGACCTCACTGCGATCGGGCGCTTCATACATGAGCTTACGATGGAGTCGCCCCGCCCTCCCTCATACGCGTATCGTCTTTCCTTCCCCCTTCCGGTTAATTACTGATGCAGTGGTAATGGACGTGTGTCGCGGCGATGGCACGAGAAAGATCCCATCCTTGGATCGTCGAAGAGCCCAATATGAGGAATTAGTAGAAGAGCAGAGTTGCCACGTTGGATGACGTCCACACGCAATCGAACGGTAAGTGGCATACCGAGAATTGCTCTGCGTGTCGATCAATTAGAGAAATCGACACGTGTCAACAAGCAAGCAGGAGCTTGTTAATATTGGAACCCCTTGGGCGTCACATATGTGATGAACCACTTTCTATAACGTGCGATTTTATGCGTGGTTGCAATGAGGGGTCCTAAGCTGGGAAGATTGGGCCAATTACGGGAGATCGGGATCAGTGGAGAATTGCATCAGTGTCCTCGCTTTTTCGTCCTTTTTCATCGTTTCTTTTTCGAATGGCCGGGCACAGGGTCAGGTGTGTCTTGGGACTGACGGTTGATTGATTGGTCGGATGGTTGTCAGGCGCGACGCCACGCACGCGCGCGATTAATAAATATTGACGTCGTTTCTTTTGGTTCGGTTTTCGATCTTTTAGGCGCAGACATCGCGCGGGAAATTGCTTCGTACTTTTTAAATTTCCCCTTGAATCTTTTTCGAATTTTGTCGAGCCCCCAACGGCTCTCGGAATTTCGGACTTTCCTTCTAGAATTCGTGCTTTTGCTTTTCTTTATTAGATAGGAATTTAGGAATTCAGTAATAAGGATTTTTCCTGCCGTGCCGCGCCTTTTGTCTACGCGCTTTTTCGTGCGGCCGCAACGGTACTCTGATTAGTGGGCGCCCTTAATCGGGTGTGTAACTGTAATTTTGGGCGGGCGCCATTGTAACTGTATCTCTCTTCTTGTACTTCGTCTCTCCCGCCCTCCCTCTCTTTCTTTTTGCTGAAATTTTGTAAGTTGCGGCTTGCATGCTTGGATCGATGCGTGGAGAAGGGTCACGTCCCCCACGCCGCAGCCGATCATGCAGAACGCAGGCGTTCTCCCTCTAATCCTCGCTCTAAGTCCTAGTAATTCCGTGTTCTTCGCGCATGCATACACGCTATAAATTTCGGCTGCGCGATTAGTCAATTCTCTTAACCCGTTGCTGGAAGCTCGGGATTGCGCGATCAGGAAGGGTCGACACACGAGCGAAGTAAGAGGTGAGTAGAGTCGGAGTTGGGCGACCCGACGGGCTGGTGCCGAACGCGCGGGATTGACGTGGGCCACGATGGACTGTGGGCACGAGCGAATCCGACGGGTGCGGGAGGACTAAGCGGGGTGACAACTTCGTGGGTTGGTGCGTGACGACGGACTGTCCGCATCAGAGAGAGAGAGAGAGAGGAGAAGAGAGTTGAGGTTGATGGACGTGGATTTGCTGTTTCTTTGTCTCTTCTCCCTCTTCATCTGTGTATTACATTTTGATTGCGGCTCCGGGCGGTCTGCCCGTTCTTATCTTCATTTGGGCTCTCTGGAATCTGTACTTGGGTTTTTGCTCATACCTGTCCTTGCGATGGCATTATGTGTATGATTGTCGAATGTATGGATGCATGAACGTTATGTCTGCTTGCCTATCTTTTTGCGGAGAATCCCTGCCCTTGCTTTTTGTTTGTGTTGAATCTTTGCTTGCACCGGATGCAGCGATAGATGGGATAAGAATCTAGCCCCGATGTCGATTTCGTTCTCGTTTTTGCTTGTCCCATGATGAGGTTGTGGTATGATTGCATCTTGCATAACCGAGACTTACGAAGCAATTAGGCGATCCGAGTCGCGCCCTTACACGCATTCCCKCGCGTCGACTCGCTCACCCCGAAAGGAATCACGGCGGAACCATCATCCCGTACGAGCATGCTGAGGCGCCACTKAGTCGGCCTGTCCYACACGTGCTCGTGCGCGGTGAYGATATCCCGACCCGCGCTATCCCATCGAYAATGATACCATGACGCGATCTTGGGGYTCAGACTCGTCCTATGACCCRGACTATTTCAMCCCTATAATAAAYGAGCTCATAAGGACCCGATACCCTTGTCACACGGAGAATCRGCTATGTCCGCGGGAATTCCACTGTGCCACCACTAGCGACCCTCGGTGCTCCGATTTCCCTTTCCCCGACCACACCTACTACTTCACCCACCCGGGATTYGTTGAGATYACCACCAGTTTCCCTCCTTTCCGCCTCCTTCTCCCGTATCATCAACTCAGTGTCGTTCTATGGCCGGCCATAGCCCCCTATTGGCCCAACACRTTTTGCGTAAACTGCCGACGCAGCGGCGCACRAAGAACCCCGGAATTCCGAAGGCCCAACCCAGCTACGCGGMGGCCTGCGCCACRTGGCGGCCCCCGAYGGCCTAACTTTTCAGGACCATCTCCACCACGGAGGAATTTTCCCGTAACCCGTCGCCCACAGTGCCCCGGCCCCATCGGACCGTGAGTCCCTTGCGCACACTCGCCTAATTGCAATCATACCCTTAAGACTCCCCCACTTTCCCCAAAAATCCTTGGGACACCCCTTTTCGCACTTCCACGCCCACACTCCACTCCGATCAGGAAGTCGCGCTGGGCGTGAGGTTGGGCGTCACAGCGCCACATCATCATGCAATGTAGACCAGAAGCAGCGCCATACCATCATGGCCTTGCGCACAGAAAAAGCGCCAGCATGCTGCCACCACCTCGTGTCGTTGCCCGCAACAACTATGCAAAGCCAGCATGTAGCCAGCATCGCGCCAGCGTAAAGCCAACATCTAGTCAAAGTCGAGCCAGCGTCAAAGCAGCATAGCAAGACTGAATGCTTGACTCACTCGAGGCCAGCCTTAAGTAACAGTTGTCGAGGCTGTCTGGCCTTGGGTGCTTTTCCCACAGTCGTCCAGATTGGCTCACAGCTGAGGGCCCGGATTGTACAGTTGCAGACTTCTCCCTTGGACCTGATGTTGTCTGGGTACCTGCATACAAACAAGTGTGTGTGCTTGACCAGTAGCCTGGGCTAGGGACCTTTGGACTTTGACTGTTGGGGTCACGACAGTTGACCAAAGTCAACTGTCACACGTTCAGGCCCTGAGTCTTTGTTTGTTTTTTTTTTTGCCCCCGTTTCGGCGTGGGCTGAGGGCGGCCGAGTTGGCCCTGAGTCTTTCCACGAGACATATGGCATGGGTTACTGCAATAGTTTGGATATTAATTTACCAGGGTCATTACCCGACTTTGGCTGAGAACTTTTTCCAGGAAGAAAATATAGATGATTCAAGAACTACTTCTAACCGTACTTCCACCAAATCCAATTCTTAAAGTGATGCTATGGGTAAACTGAACTGAAACTAAGCTGTCCTGTTTTATAAAAACCAGGTCTATACCCGGCCTCACCCCCCAACCTGCAAGGCTATAGGGCAGCCAACGCCCCCCAGCTCCGGCCATCATTGTTTTGGACGCGGCCCCCCACTGGATTGCCTTCCACCCTCGACAAATCCCCAGATGTCTCTACCAGGTCTCAAGCTCCTGCATAAACAGGTTACAGGGCAAATGCCCCAGCAACGACCAGCGCCAATCTGGCATCGGCTAGCCTAGACCGCTAAACACCACAACTTCGTCTGGTGTCAGCTAAGCCTGTAAAACCACTGAAATCCTTTTTTTTTTTTTTTTTTTTTTTTTTTTGAGAAAAACATTCGCTCCTGTGCTAGCAATGCTGGTAAGTGCAGATACCGCTAGCACCTGGGGAGAGGCTCCATCTATTGGTGGGAAGCATCACCTGTTGGAAAGCGGGTCCAGCGTCCCTTGCGATTGAAATTGAAAACACATCTCAGAATGTCTGTAAGCTGAACCTGCCAGCATTGATTACCCTGGAGGCCAGGGGATTTACTGAGCAGGGGGGGGGCCCTCTTGACCCTGATGTTTGGCGCCAGATTTCCTCTGTCACTGCTGGCTCCCCTCCTCTGACCATGGTGATCGGTGATGCCACAAGGTTGGAAACTGTCTCGTTCTACCGCATCGTCAGGGGCCAAGCGGAGATCCACTGGGGGGCACCATTGGGTACTTCCGCCGTCCCCCTGCCTGCCCCATTACTGATACTGACTGTCTACCCAACCCATTCTTCCATTGCTTGGTGGTGGGGCGGGAATGGGTCTGCAAGGTCTTCTGCTGGGCACAGTGGAACATCCGGACTAATCGTGGTCCAATCCTTGAATACCAAATGATAGTCCCGGAGAGGCCTTATGCTGGCCGCATCGTTCTCGGGCTGAATCCGTGTGTCCCAAGGTCCGGACCAAACCACCTCTGCTACCCATCCCTCCCCCAACCATTTTTGGCCAAACTTCGTAATCACCGAGGCAATGTCTTTTGGTTGATGTAATGAGTCTAATGTTTGTTTTGTGACTGCCCATAGTCGAGAAAGTTCTAGTTGGAACTGTTGTTTGAGGTATTCCTGTTTCTCCTCCCCATCCACCATCACCTTGTCCATGGCAAGGGCACAGAGTTGCCACCAAATAACCCATAGAATCACTGGTCTTCCCAGG